AATAATGCCTATTTGCAATTAGTGTTTGACTTCTCTTAATTAAATTGTCTTATCTTATTTATATGGAAGCATCAGTTTTATAATTAAACTTAAAACCTGCTATTTCTATAATACAGTTTTGTAAGTTGTCCTATTATTTTAGTATGGTTGCTATTTACTCTGAGAATCTTTAAATATACTACTAGGTACCAGACCCACTGACTTATTATCATTTGCTAAGTGCCATGTAAAGTCCTTACTTGAAATATATACCCAAACTGTTTACTCTTCAATAACTCTTCTGGATTATTAATACCTAACAGTACTGATGAGGATGCAGACAGGTTAAGTCATTTATTGTTATACTATTAGTAAGTTGAATATGAGCAGCTTAACTCCTGGCTTAGATTAACACCAAATTCAAGATGTTTGAGGTGTCTCAGATATCTCAGGTGGTAAACACATCACTGATATGGCATATTCTTGCCCTCTCCATATGAACGACATTGCTAATTATATTTGGAATCCTTATTTACTGAGTGTGTAGCCTTCCTTGGAATTACTGTTGTATGTCCTTTGTAGTAAGTACATGTTAAAAGATTTGTACTTGTATTTGAGAACTATTTATCATTCATATATGTCTAAGCAAGTTCTATAGAATAATATAGACTACATAGTATAGCAAGAACTGGCAATATGTTTACCAAACCCATTTTTCTTCTTCCTATATGTATGGGTAAAAGACAGGTCCAACTTGACTTCATTGTGCTCTAATTAACAGAATGTGAGCCTACCTAATGTATATTGTCTGTAGATCTATCCTTCCCCTTCTTCCATCAATTTATTGAATACCTGTAGAGATAGTAAGTTGAAAGATAGAGAACTCTGTGTCCATTAATAATTTACTTTTTATTTTAATATTCTTAAATATCCACAAACCTTTTAAAAGATTTTATTTTCTGTGTATATAAACTTTGCTTGTCTGTATATCTGTTCACTATGTGTATGCAGTGCCCATAGAGACCAGAAAAAGGCATCAGATCCTCTGAGATTGGAGTTAACAGTTGTGAACTGCCATATGGGTGCTGGGAATTGAACCCAGGTCCTCAGGAAGAGCAGTCAGTGCTTTTAACCACTGAGCCGTCTTTCCACCATGTTTTAAAAAATCTTTAATTGCATATACTAATTGCATTTATTTATGGGACACAGTGATAATTTGATACAGATGTACAACATATGAGGATCAAACCAGATGACTGGCATTTCCATGTCCTTAAATGTTTATTGTCTAAAGAAGCTTTTTGAAGAAAGATACCTACCAATCAATACCCATTTGGGCTGATCAAGAAGTAAACATCTGTCATACTTAGGTCATTAAAGTTTTACATGTGCTTGCTATTTAAAATAATCTGATAAGTACAAGGTTCATGCTAGAACATATTGCTAGATGGATTCAGAACAAGAATTTTAACCTAGATCTTAATTTTATTATGAAGTTCTCCCACATTAATCTTAATCATTAATCTTAAAAATAATTTCAAAAATCATTGAAGTGAGTTAGGGAGCTTTTCATTATAATATTATAATAAAAATCTGAGGTTTACATTGGCTAAGAGGTTTTGAGGTTTTGGCCCATCGTGCTTGACTTCATTGATATTGGGCTTGTGGTAAGGAAGCACACCACAGCTGGAGCTGCTGATCTCATGACTGGGAAACAAAATAGAGAGCAAAAGAAGCTCTGGGGTCCCAGTATGCCTTTCAAGGGCACAGCCCAGGTGACCAGGTCTCACCTTCTTATGTTTACATCTCTTCCCAAGTGAGGGTTAGGCCTCTTAAACACATTAGTCTTTAGGAGACTGGACTGTGACTGAAAAAGCAGGGGATAAAACCGGACTCTCTGAATATGGTGGACAATGAGGGCTGCTGAGAAGCCAAGGACAATGGCACTGGGTTCTGATCCTACTACATGTTCTGGCTTTGTGGGAGCCTAGCCAGGTTGGATGTTCACCTTCCTAGACCAGGATGGAGGGGGGAGGACTTTGGACTTTCCACAGGGCAGGGAACCCTGACTGCTCTTCAGACTTGAGAGGGAGGGGGAGAGGAGTGGGGGAGGGAGAGAGGAGTGGGGGAAGGGGGGGAGGAGTGGGAGGCTGGGAGGAGGCGGAAATTTTTTTTCTCAATAAAAAAAAAAGATCCAAACTATTAAAATGATAAAGGCATTTTAAAACCTATAATACCTCAGATTCTAATTCCATAAAATTGAATGCTTTCAGGACCAGACCTATCTGGCCTGATGTTCCTGCCACATAGACAAAAGATAACATCAAGTCGGGATTTATCAGTGTATACTGAAAATTTTTCATAGGTTGGATGGACCTTCAAATGACCCATTATTCAGTACATTTGTAAAATTCTTGAATAATTGAAGGTGCTTAGATTTTTGTTAAGAAAAGTTGTTGCTATAGGCTTTATACAAGTGAATGCACACACCAGAGAAGATAAGCTTCCGTGTAGTTGACAGAAGAAGGCAGGTATTCCTTGGAAACTTGGAGCACCACCACAATAGGAATATAACCAAACATGATTTCTAACTTATGTGGTGCCTTGGCTCTAAAATTGTGTGGTGGCTGATATTAAGAGAAACTTATTATTACAAAAATTGACAACCATGAGAGATTCTTGATATTATGTTTTGCTTTTTTCAGACCCATTCAGTTTTATAAATGATCACTTCAGTGTTGCATGGGTGCTTTCTCACACCCTCCCACCTCACTTGTAGAGAAAACTTAATCTGTTCAGAGATAGACTCTTCCTCTCCTCTTGGGTGACTTTCCCAGGAGAAAAGAGCCCTCTGTCCTCTACATGCAACCCAGCTATTTAACCTAATCTCACTCAAGAAAACATAAATCTACTGAAATAGCACAAAAAGGCTGTATCTTAGCGAGAGTTTCTGTTGCTGTGACCATGGACTGACACTTTAGGAATCACCACCAGAGCCAAGTTTTCTTCCTTTTAAGTTGATCTCTCAGGTGTTGACTTAGACTGCTCGTTTGTTCTTGGCCACCCAGACCCAAAATAATCACACAGAAACTGTATTATTACAACACTGTTTGGTCTATTAGCTCATGCTTCTTATTGGCTATCTCTTATATCTTAAATTAACTCATTTCTATTAATCTGTATCACCATATGGTTGTGGCTCTATCCAGAGTCCTGCATCTGTCTCTTTGGGTGGCTATGTGGCTTCACCCTGACTCCGCCTACTCTCTCCTCCTCTATCTGCTTGGAATTCCTACCTTGCCCTATTCTGCATTGCAATAGGTCCATAGCAGCTTCTTTGCTAACCAATGGTATTCACAGCATACAGAGGGGAATCCCATATCACTCAGGTATTTGTCATGGTGATAAAAACACTGAGCAGCATAGGCTTCACTTATGAATTTCTTTCTTCATTTTATTTTGTGCTAGGGTTGGACCTACATCTTTGTATATATTAGACACATGTTCTATCACTGAGAGACTCCCTATGTCACCAACACATCAGTCTAGGAAATGTGTCATTTGTCCATAGTAAATCATACAAATGATCTTATATTGTTTTAAACATGTTTTCTGTTACATACAGGTGAATATATATCCTCATAGAGATCCTAAGATAATGTCTAAGTCATGATATATAACGTGAGAAGATCAGGGATTATTTGCCTTTCCTCAGAACACACAGGTGTAGAGTTGGCATGGCTACACCTCACAGCTAATGCCCATTGCTGTTACAGGCAGTTCCTAGCTGCTGATCAGATGTGGAATTATGCTAACATAAGCAGCACAGCCCTTGGGGAGTTTTAAGTTGTAGGAGAAACATCTTTTCTGGGACTGTGTGCTCTGACAGAGAAAACACTCCAGCTGAGGCCTATCATAAACTTCTGGCAAGCCAAGAGACATGAGTTGGTGATTTTATCAGGCAAGACTTCCAACTAATGGGCCGCTGAGAGCGTTGCTGTACAGTGAAGTGCTGTAATAAACTCAACCATGATTTCTTTTGTTGAGTTCTATCACCTTAGATCATCACGGTTTATTTATGAAGACATTACCTTAGACAATACCACAGTGCTATGGATATGAATACACACACTTTTCTCTGAAATCAATCAGTTGCCTTTTCCTTGTGATTCAACCTTCCTTCCTTCCTTCCTTCCTTCCTTCCTTCCTTCCTTCCTTTTTTCCCTCCCTCCCTTCTTTCCTTCTGTGTGTGTGTGTGTGTGTGTGTGTGTGTGTGTGTGTGTATGTGTGTGCAGCATGTATGTGTGTGTTTTCCCTGACTTACTCTGCACCTCTGGCTGGCCCAGAATTTGCTGTGCAGACCTGAAACTTTCAGAGATCATGCCTCTACAACACATGGTCTTGCAAATCAAATTTAAGTTTTAGAACTATCTTTAACCAAAAGGTAGAGTATGGAGTTCACTGAGTCCTAGGAAGGTTCTCATGAGACATTTGCCAGTCACTTTAGTTATATTGTATGTGAACCAATTTTACTCCATTTAAAAAAGATGAAATGTACATAGACATCAAAATATTACAGAACTGATGGATTTCACAGCATGGTAAAATTTACCTTTTAATATAGCTGGGGAAGTGAAAGGTCAGCAATTACCAAATTTAAAAAGCCTAAACAAAATAACCCACTGGAATCTCTCCAAAAACCAGACAAAGAGAGAAATGTTATATATACACATATGCAAATTAAAGAAAGAGAACCCAGGCCATTTTGCAATCTTAAGCCTTCTGACAGTATTTTTATGAACTCAGTAAAACAAACCACGTGGTACAAGATTTTCTGGAAAACCTTTCTGGTTTCACTGTGTACTTCATGACTGAGCAAATGTGACATTATGTTTTATCCCCTGTGGCTTGGAGTTAAACACTTGCTCTGTTCAGAATGGCAACACTCAATTAAACAGCATTTTTCTCAACCCACACCCACCATCATTGCTGTGTTCAAGGGAAATAACGGGAGTACTGACCTATATTGCGTTTCTTATTATCAATGGAGATGAAGCGTATACAGGGATTACTGCTGATGTACTGGCCAGCCCAAGGGACGTCAATCTTCATGCCTGCTTCATAAAAGAGGCCCAGAGCATAGCGGGAGGAATAGCTCACAGATGCCAGTTGTTGCCTTTGGAATTCACTAATGACTGTGGAAGAAAAAACAAAACACAAACTCAAAAATATCATCTTTCCCTTTAGTCATCAAGTCCAAACTTCCTTCACACAAGACCCAAGTATGCCCTGCAGTCCCGTCTTGCTCACCATGAATTCTCAAAAGTAATGTAAGATGCTCTTTTTTTTCTATTTTTTTTATAATGTTTACTAATGCTGGCACAATTACATCTAGTAAGAAGAAGGTTCGAGTTCATTAGACTCCCAATCAAGTCTCTCAAAATCTCCTCACAGTTGCTGCTCTAGCTTCATATTCTCTTTGCTGGCCATGGACTGTCTGGCAACATTATAGATTTTATAAACTTGCTGCTTAACTATGAGTTGAATGCTTTTTCTAATTATTGCCACAACATTTCACACAGTATAATCATAATCTTTAAGGTTGAGTATAATCATAATCTTTAAGGTTGAGTATTATTTCCATGCCATAGGTGAAGAGACTGTAGCCCCTTCAATACGCCTAAGTCATTTAATTTGCTAGTCTGTCACCTTCCCATTTATCGAACTGTAGCAGTTCTACAGTTTATCCCCCAACCTGTTCCTGCTGGCTGTAGTTTCAGAACAAACTCCAATGCTGCTTTCTTCTCAGACATATATGATTATTTTGCACTCAAAAGTTTGTTGACCGTGTCCTTTACTTTACAGAAGCTTCTCAGTTTCAGGAGGTCTCATTTATTAATTGTTGCTCTCAGTGTCTGTGCTACTGGGGTTATATTTAGGAAGCGGTCTCCTGCGCCAATGTAATCAAGTGTACTTCCTACTTTCTTTTCTGTGAGGTTCAGTGTGGTTGGTTTTTTGTTCAGGTCTTTCATCCATTTGGACTTAAGTTTTGTGCATGGTGATAGATATGGATCTATTTGCATTCTTCTACATGTTGATATCTAGTGATGCCAGCACCATTTGTTGAATATGCTTTCTTTTTTCCACTTTATATTTTTTGCTTCTTTGCCAAAAATCAGGTGTTCGTAGGTATGTGGATTGATATCCAGGTCTTTGATTCAGTTCCATTGGTCCTCCTGTCTGTTTTTATGCCAATACCAGGCTATTTTCATTACTGTAGCTCTACAGTAGAGTTTAAAGCCAGGGGTTTACCTCCAGAAGTTTCTTTATTGTAAAAGATTGCTTTGGCTATCCTGGGTTTTTTGTTTTTCCAAATGAAATTGAGTATTGTTCTTTAAAGGTCTGTGAAGAATTTTGCTGGGATTTTGATGGGAATTGTTCTGAACCTGCAGATTACTTGGTAAGATTGCCATTTTTACTATGTTGTGTATATACCCAAAAGGCTCATTCATACCACAGAGGCATGTGCTCAACTATATTCATAGCAGCATTATTTGTAATAGCCAGTACCTGGAAACAACCTAGATGTCCCATTACTGAAGAATGGATAAAGAAAATGTGGTACATTTACACTGGGTGGATCTAAGAAACAACCATATTGAGTGAGGTAACCCAGACTCAGGAAGACAAATATAATATGTACTCTCATAAGAGGCTTTTAGACATAAAGCAAAGAAAAACCAGCCTACAATCCACAACCCCAGAGAACCTAGACAACAAAGAGGACCCTAATAGAGACATACATGGATCTAAATAGGAAGTAGAAAAAGATAAGATCTCCTGAGTAAATCAGGAACATGGGGGTCATGGGAAAAGGTAGAGGGGGAAAGGGGAGGAAGGGAGAGGAGTGGAGAAAAATGTATAGCACAATAAAAACAATAAAAAAGAAAAAAATCCAAAAGTAAAAGCTTATTATTTCTTCAAGACATCATTTTCTTTTTTACTAAAAAGCTTTCCCTGCTTAATAAACAGATGTTCATCTGACACTGGCCTCATTATATTCAGAGAATAGGGGTCTTATTTTTATTTATGTAATTCACTTTTCAAGCTATGGCTTGATATCAAACTAAGCTTATTGTTTTCTGAAAGAGAAGAGGTGAGTGTTGTAAGTTCCAGAAACTTCCCCAAATTTCCCAATTGTGGAATTAAAAGCACAAATAAACAATCTTTTAATTAAGAAAAATGAAAACAAAGCGATCAACCAAACAAACAAAACTGTGAACTATTGAGAACCTACAAAGGCCTGAAGGATTTTTTTAAAATGAAAGCTAAAGGGGTCAAATAGGTTGACAGCCAAATTGAATCTCACCTCCACCATATTTTCACATGTAGCTAAATTTTAAACAATCTGTCAAGTGGCAAATCCCCTTAGATAGTCTTTTGAAAAGGTAATTGGTATACATGGAGAATACAACTAGCCATAAACACCCATGTCTGATGGGGCATGGGAGCTAAGACTTGTGACTGAAACAATCTAATTTTCAACAGACTCACTTATCAAAAATGTCATCTTTAGGATGTCAAGTTTTTGGTCTTTGAAATGCAGGTTAGACTAAAAGTCTGTCCCATTTTCTTTGAAAAAAGAAAAACCTTCTTATGCTGAAGGAACTAACCTTAAAGGATTCCAAAAAATATGTATGTACACATGTATATATATATTCCAGAAAGCAAAATAATAATTTATCAAGTATCATAGTATATAAAAAAGATAATTGAGGGCCAAGCATGGTAGTGCATACTTTTATTTCCAGAATTCTGGAGGCAGTGAGCGACAGATCTGTAAGTTTGAGGTCATCTGAATCTATATGGGGAGTTCCAGGACAGCCAGGGTTACATAGTGAGGCTCTGTCTCAAAGGAAAAGACACACGATGACAAAGTAAGGCTCAAATGAAAGTGCATAATTTCTATATCATCAACTTTTACTTGAATGCCACCATCCGCCATATTTATTTAATTGTGAGTCAATGGGGATTACATAATCTTTACAGTTATGCAATGTTAATTTGCATATTATATAACCTTCAAATCATCTATTATTTTATATATTTATGCATATAAGCTAAAAGAGACATTTTATTATTGTAATGAGAGTCAAAGGACTAAAAGACAGAAGGAAGAGCAGAGTTCATGACTTAGGGAACTGTTCCTACTGGACGACCCTTTTGTGTGTGTCTTTGTGTGCATTTGTGCACATGCAGGTTGACATTTGGAAAAGAGAGGGGGAAAAAGGGCAAGAATAGAAGACTTGGGCAGTACTCCTGAGTAACATTAAGTAATTTAATTTTCTTAGTTTCCTATTGTGACTCATTCCTCTAGTTTTATACTCGAGAAGAGAAGGCTGATAATATATACTCTTTTTTTTTTCTGTATTTGGTGGCAAAATATTCACCCACCGTCATTGCCTACCCTATGCCAGGTTCTCATATTGATGTGAGGGGTTTAAGGCAGACCTAAAAAGTAGAGGCTCCCATTTAGCTTCCATTTTGTTGGTCGAGGGGCAAATTTTAAAATGTAGAGCCAGGTAAATGGAGACTAAGCATAAAGAAAAATAAAGCAGTACAAGGGGACGTTTTACAGGTGAGGATGGTGTGGCTCGTCTATTTCAGCTGTCAAAGCCATGTCTCCTCAGAGGATTCTACTCTGATTGACATGGTAAGCTACTACTGCTTTGCCAGTCAAAGACACACATGATGTAGTTTCTGTTGAAATAACTGTAATTTGGGGTAAAGGAGAAGACAATAAACATGTAAGAATGAAATTGAACTGAATGGCTATCGCAGCAATTTTTGATTTGATATAACAATGGAGGAAGACAGAGATAGTTCCGTTTTAGATAGAATATCTATATGTACATATATAAGATATATACACTATGTCCATCCATGTAAGTGTATGTGTATGCATCCGGAAGTAATAACTGAGTGTCCACCCATCTGGACTGAGATGGAGTAGGCCATAATGTCATGTAGGGTTGTCTGACTTTTTTTTTTTAAATCACTGTGTGGCAATTCTTTATATATTTTATATGCAACTCTTACAGGAGAAATGCAAGAGCTTTCTCCTCAGAGGCTCACTCTTTTAACAGTATGGCTTTATGTAAAGATTTCTCAAAGTTTATTATTTTTTCAATGATAGCACTTTTACTTCTCTGTTTATAAATCTTTAGCTAGTATCCTACTTCAAGGTTCTGAAAACTCTCTCTTATATATATGTTTGTGTGTGTATATATATATGTAATTTTCCTGAAAGCTAGAATATTATTTTGAAGTTAAGTCTGATAGAGTTAAGTTTAGCTGATGAGTCTGATAAGCTAATTCTGGCTTGCCAAGAAGTGTGAGGAAAAGAGCTCAGTTGTAGAATACAGAGATTGCTATTTCATTTTATATTATTATTATTAAACAATCATAACATACAATTAAGAACTAGATTATAAATAACCTGAGACAAGAACTATATCTCACAGGCTTTGCAAGTCCAGTTCTCTGACTCGTTCTTCTATGGCCTTAACAACTATTAATAAAGACATCTTCATGTAAGATTTGTTAACTTCATAATATAAAATGGGGAAAAATTACTATGTTGTCAGAACCCAGCGAAACAACAATTGCATTTTGATAATACCTTTTCTTTCTATCTTCCTGGCTTTTCTTAAAGATGAACATGTTAGACACGCAGTTTTTTCAGACTATAAACTCTTGTTTGCTATGTGGCAGACGACTTCCCTGTGAGTTTAACTTTTAATGGTGAAATGGATGCTGTTCCTTAATGCTGGGCCTTTGTTCTTTCTTCTGTGATCATAGCCATTATAGACATTTTTATGTGTAGATCTTTATCTATGTTTCTAATTATACCCCCCCAGACTTGAAGCGGAACGAGTGTTAATGTTTAGAAAACTATGCCAATTTATAGTTTCCATTAATGGTACAGGAAAGAACCACTTTATTCTGCCCTTGCTTACATTTTATTTTTTTTCTAATAAGAAAGGAACTAGACATTTTATTTTGGCTTTAATGTAATAAGATTGGACGTCTCTCAGATATCTTGTAGAAAACACATACAAGCTTTGCAAACTGTCTGTTCACACCACTGTGCTAATTGACCGATTTCATTTTTAATGTTACTACTATGAGTTTT